GCAGCACTAGGCCCCCTGGGAGTACGTAAATACTCCCCAGTAGGGTTGTGCCAATAAAAACTGACACCGATGTTTATATGGACCCAAAAACTAGCAAAACTCGATAATGGATTATTTTCAAAAATGTTGATTGTTACTAGAACACAAAAAAAATTCAGGTGAACGGGAGGTATCGGGTGATAAGAGTGAAATACGTGGCGAAGCAGAAAGTCTACAGGGCAGATTCGTAGTATATATAGAAGTATTCTTGTGATGCACGTTGTAGAAGACCTGTTTTTAATCACCTCTATAAAATCTCTCTAAGAAGGGCACCGCTCTTTAAAGTGGACCATTTGACAAAGTCCTATAGGTGCTCATCTACAGAAGATTTTATTGTAACTAAATAGCTAATTATTTTTACTAGTTGTCTCTAGTAAGTAAGCTACTCCGTATTGTGTTTTATTACAAATAATTTTTATTTAAAAACTTCCAGAACGCAGTTGGATGAAGAATTCAACTAGATTGTTTTTTATACTAAAGTTTGTATTTGCCGTTACCTTGACTATTTACGGGCTTTATGCTTTTACTGAACGATCGAGGAAATACGTTAATCACCGTATTCCCATCATTATTGTGTATAATCGTGTGCCGAAATGTGGCAGTACACTCATGAATAAACTTCTTAGAATTGTTTCTAAGAAATCGAACACATTTCAATTCATTCAATCACAGAATTACACGCATTTACGTCTCTTGCCAACAGATCAATTACAATTACGAGAGAACCTTCTTAATTATTCACAACATGCTAACCACAGCAAACTAATCTATGAGCGACACTATCACTTTGTTCATTTTGGTCGGCAAATGAATAGTGTTTTCTTTTACATAAATCAATTGCGAGATCCATTGGACCGTGTGTTATCTTCTTATAATTATGTTCGGTATAAATGCAAAATTCATGGATCTAGTATGTGTGCGCTATCGCATCGATCGTTAGAAAATTTGACTATGGACGAATGTGTCTCGACAGGTGATCCTGCTAGGTGTCTCACTCTAGCATATGGTGTCACTTTAGCGATGCCTTTCTTTTGCGGTCAATTGCCATTATGCGACGAAACCTATATGAAAATAACCAATGATGCAGCTTTAGCTCTTGCTAAATCTAACATTGAACGCTATTATCTTTACGTGGATCTGGTAGAATATATTGAAAGTTCTTTAGAATTGTTGGAATTCATTCACCCACCAATCTTCTGTGGTATATCAACGTTCTATCGAGAAACTTTCAATAGCAGTCGTGTTTATGTAACCCCTATTCAGTATTGGGGTTCAGTTAGTAACAAAACACGCACCATTCTGCTTCGATTACTCAAATTTGAGTATGAACTGTATTATTTTGTCGAACAACGTTTCATTGATCATTACGCGAAAATTTTTCGTAGAGTACCTCGTCGCAATCGCGATTGATGTTCACCGAGAAAGGATGGATACTCTTCACCTTTTACAGATTCGATCCTACATGTTATCCTCGAACATGAATATATTATTTAAATAAATTTTTTAATTTGGGCAAGTCAACACAATTATTGCAAGATTATCTTTTATTTTTTATTTATTAAATAAATTTTGTTTTTTTTTTATTTGCTTTTTTAAATTAATACATAAATATAATATAAATACAAAGAAAGAAGGAAAAAGAAAAGAAACAATAATAATAATTAATTAAATATAAAAGATATTTTGTACGCGAGGCCTTTCGAATTGTTCTTTTTCAAGCGAATTCATATAAATAGAAATAGGTTTATGAAAGAAAGTTCAATTGAGTCTTGATTTTTTATATATTGTTGGAACCACGATTGTGAATATTAATTTTTGAATATTGATTTTTATACATGTTGCAGGAACAACGATTTTGAATATGGATTTTTTTATGTATATTTTTCATGTATTGTTGGGCTTTTGATGTATTTTAATGGATTTTCATGCGCTGTAATGCGTTTTGGCGTATTTCAGCGTATTATGATTCAATTTCATATGTTTTAATGAATCTTAATGATTCTTCATGCCTTTTTGTGCATTTTAGGATTTTGGTACAGTTTTATGTATTATTCGGCGTTTGAATAAATGTTCATACACTGTCGTATGATTTAATGTATTCTACTGCATTTTGATGTTTTTTAACATACTTTGATGTATTATCATATATTTTAATGCATTTCAATGTGTTTTATTGCGTTTTTCGGTAATTTGATGCGCTTTTGGCAATGTATTTTTGAGATATATTATTCTGAACTGGTAGTGGTTAGTGCAAGTTTAAGTATAAATTTGAGTAGTGAGAGATAATTTTCACAAATAATAGGAGCAAGGAGACATAGTTTTACAAATAATAGGGGTAGGAAGAGATGATTGTACAAATATTAGGAGTGAGGATAAATAATTTTATAACATAAAAGAAAAATTTTTTATATTATATGAGATAGAGATTTTTACAGTATATCGATGATAGAGGAAAAAAGCATAAATACAACGGAGGGAAGAAGCTTTTACAATACATAAGAAAAGGATTCATACAATGTAAAGAAGAAAGGTTTTACAATATATACAACAAAGATTTTTTAATTATAAAGAAGAAATGAAATAGGAGGAAAGTATAGGTGTTTCACGATACACCTTTTTAATTACAATGATTCAGAAGTTTTTTGTTAGTATTATTACCTTTTTATTTTTCCTCCTCATTTTTCATTCTCTTAATGTTTTTCTTTCTTATTTTTCCTCATCTTTTCCTATAGTCGTTGTCATTTTAATATTACTTGATGCTAATATTATTTTATTCTTAGTTCTTTTTTATCTTATATTTTATACTTTTTTATTTATTTATTCTTGTTAGTGTTAGTATTATTTTAGTATTCTTCTTTTTCTTTTTCTTTTTGTTGGTTTTATTTTTCGTATTGATTTCTACGTTTTTAGTGTTGTTAGCTGAGTTTTTATCTAGTCTTATTTTTTAATATTTTTATGGATTTTTGGATGTATTTGAGGTATTTTTTCTATTGTAGTTGTAGTTTCAAGATGTTTTTGTTTGGTCGTTTTTTAACGAGTAATTGTTTTAAATTACTAGTTAATCTATTGGCATATATTATACGTGTGCTGTCTAATGGTGTCTCCTGAAGAATTTCTTTCCATATTTTGTGGAAAGTTGTATCAAAGCGTGCCAATGTTGGTGTGCATGAAAAGTGGCATATTATATCGTTTCGAAAATCTATCCCTCTTTCTTCTTTTTTGTTCCATTGTTCATTAAGTACCTCATCACAATATGTTGCATGGTTTTCTCCTATTAATCGATCGATAGATTCTGTTCTTGTGAGATCTTTATAGAATCTCTGCATTTGTTCATCGACGAATGTTGCTGAATATTTATTTAGCATTGGTGTTATTTTTATTCTATCTAACTCTTCTCTAAGATCATTAAGATGCGAACTTATTCGTGTCGCTCATAATGCTGCATCATATGGAATATTTCTCATGATGTGTTTCGGATGTACTGAGTGATAAGGCAATAAATAGGGTTGTGCTGCTAATTTACAATATATTCTTGTTCTAAAATTTGGAATCTCGATTCTTATTGTTACGTCTAGGTCATCGACTGATTTTCCTCCTTCCCATTGTATTTTTAAATTTGGATCAGATTTGTTTAATTCTTCAAAAATATTATTCATTTTTTCTGGTGGTTGTTTCCTTGTTAGAAATACATCGTCTCTGAATCGAAAATATAATTCTTTTTGTCTGTGTTGTTCTTTTACTAAGATATTCTCCCATTTTTTAACGTATATGTCAGCAAGTACTTGTGTACATGCTAAGCCCATGGCTCCGCCTCTAATTTGTTTATAATATTTAGGTTGTTCTGCTGGCTGTTGAAGTACAAAGTAGGAATTTTCTAATACCTATAAAAATAATGATTTTATTATGTTTATTGATAAATTTCCTATCTTTCGACATCCATTTCTACCTAAAAATTCGCATACTGCTAACACCGCTTCTTTCTGTGGAATCATTGTGTAAAGATCCGTTATATCGAATGTGTAAAGATTTGTTTCTGATGTTGTTTTATATTCTTTCAAATGTTTTAGAAGTACTAAGGAGGTATGTTTATTAAGTAGTGGTCGAATAATCTTATCAAGAAAACTAGCTATTTTTGCTAATCGAGATTTTATTCCGCTTACTATTGTTCGAAGCGGCTCACCTAATTTATGATCTTCAGGATTATAGTATAAGTTTGGTAACTCTGATTCAGCGCTCGATGGTCTTAGTTTATCTAGTAGTGATTGTGGTATTCTTTTCATTGAAACAAGATTTCAAAGAAAGGACCGCGCCGGATTTGCCGAACTATTTATTTAGAAAAACTAAATACAGGGTTTTGTAGAGCTCAAAAAGTTACATCGAACGGTATCTGGAGGGTGTCGGTGTGGATGTGGGATGTGGATGGGTGCGAGTTTCGGTGCAGTTGTGGTTGTTCTTCTTTCAATAAAGCTCACCCACACCCTGCTAGAATACCTTGTTCAGTATCTCATTCTTACTTGTTAAGTTCAACTTGTTGAGCAACAGACTTTTGAAAACGAAGCAATAGTTACAGTTGATAAAACGACTTCACTTGTTATTGGCACCAATTTTCGTTTTCTTAATGTTAAAGGTGATGGTGCAGGTGAAGCAACCAATTTTTTTTATAGTTAGATTCTGGATAGTAAACGTATTAAACTTTGTTAATAAAAAGGTCTCAAAATATAACTGTTTATGTACTTATATATGTGTCTTTGATATTTAATGAAACAGATTATGAACCGTAGTTCTATAATTTTCACAATGATTTTATTAAATTTTCTTTGTTTTTGTTAAATTAATCAGATCAATTTTCTAATGTTTAAACTAGATTAAAAATGAAACATATTCAGATGAATACGCGAGATGAAATGAAGATTGAATAAGTTCAGCCTATATTAGCTTTTTTGGTTTTTTTCAATCTATTTTTCTTCCTAAGCATGGTACAACAGTACATACCTGACTCAGACTTTAGAGTACTCCATTTGATCTGAATAAAGTGGAACACATAAAAGAAAAATTTAACAAAAGTAACCTTTTTTCGTGAATAAATTCGTTAAAACACATTTAATAACAAGTGTAATTATCAGTATATTTTGAAATGAGTATTTTTCCAATTATATGTTTTAACAGGATGATATCTATTTCTTGATAATATTATATTTGAATAGTATAAAATAACTTTGATAAAAATTTTTTTGTCTAAGTTTAAACTTCGACACGACATAGATATACTTTTTTATTGAATGAAGAACAACGACTTATCAATGAAAGCGAAACAAAATAAGAGCAACGTGAAGCAAAGCGAGGAAAGAGATATATTACATCGAAATTCGAGATTATTTAATCATTTGAATAAAAGTGATTATTTATGTCATAGATGATTCTTTTATATTCAAGGCGAAGGATGTATGCGTCGCAACCGGCATGGACAATGCCGCACTATGATTCGGCAAAGGAGTAACAAATACCATAAGCAAATATGTAGACTTGCTGTTAATCCTCCATATAATCCAAGCAGTGTTGTGAATATATAAAGAATATTGTTTGGTTCGGCACGATGATATTGACATATTGATGGAGCACATTCTTGAAAATATGCAGAATAATTAAGTGAAACAGCATATGATATCCTGTAATAGTCATCCAGAATCGATCCTATTGAAGTCGTTGGTGAGAATGGCGTTGCATTAAGATTAAATGTAGTAAAAGAACTACCCAGAACTCTATTTAGTTGATTGACGCAAACATCATCATACAAGCATTCAAATGTCGACTGTGAAAGACCATCCATGATTGAACATCCAACAACAATGCCTAAATAAATGAAATATCAATGATAATGAATTTAGTTTTTAAACTATCATCTTTTAATCATAAACCGTTTTGAAAATCTCAGTCAACCAATCTGCACTGATAAAAGTATATAAGAAAGTTTGAGAGAAAAGTTTACCTGGAAATACATATGAGTCATCTGTCGAATCATAATATATAGGTAACTTTTTACAATCAGATCTACCACTTGGACAAAAACAAGTATCATTATTTGATGAAATTGGAATGTTACGAAGAATATAGTTTTCATCTAAACCTGAAAAATCTATTTTCCAACTTGTCATATGTTTGTTATGAAATTGATTTGCTTGAAGCATTTCAGAAGTCCATTTAAAAACTTTTTCTGGTGACAATATGAAATTGCTATCTATTCCATTTGTAAGTAAGTTTGTCCATGCCTTAAATGACTGTAAATTCATTGCTTCAATTGATATCAAACGTATCTGATATAAAGATAACATTGCTTGATCTGAACTTTCTGTCGCGAAAAGACATCGGTAATATAGGAGACGAAATTGTGATTGAATGAGATTCCAATTGGATTCTTCCAAACCTATGTTTGTTAGTACTGAAATCACCACGGAATACAGTTGAAACATGATCTGATTGCAATCTTCAGAATATACAGGTGAGACAGTTAGAAACTTTAAGCTAGAAATAGCAATATGTGTACAAGGACATGATAAACTATCAGAATATTGTTCGTGAAGAAATGAAAAGTAAGTTTCATTTGGTGAATCCACATTTATCACTACTATACCAAGCTGAAACCGCACGAAAACTGAGATAATAACGAAACATAGAACAAGTAGAATAATATAGATTCTTGTTGCTGAATGTTGGTGTTCCACTTGTGGCTTTTCTCGGTATACGTTCACTCTAGAAAGCTCATCTCGAATATAGGTAAATATCCTTCTCCAATGTAAATGAATGCCTATAATGAATCAAAATTATTAAACAGTGGAAGAAAAAATTCTCACCTCGCGTTTGCCGACGACAAAAATGATAAATCAGATAGATAATTTTAATGAACAATGGAACGAAAACACGAAGAAGAACAGTTAATCCTCCAATCAAGCCAATAACTAAGTTAACACAAGCAAAAGGATGTAATTTATGCTGTATTGTATAGGTACATATTTGTGGCTGGCAATGAGCATAGTACGATGTATAATTTTTTATGTAGATCCATTGATCAACAAAAGCAGTCCGCATGAGAAATAGGAATGGGTCTTGAAGTTCCATTGTGATGACATCATTAGGATCAAGTGCTGTTATATTAGTCAAATTGATTGGTAAATAGATATTTTCATAATCATAAAGACGTTGATCAATTAGCATCTGGACACATGGTTGATTGTAAAAACATTCTAGTGTAGAAAAACTAAAATCTAAAAGTGTACAACCAAGGTATAGACCAGGAATAATTTGACCTGGTATGATATCGGCTTCTGCAGATAACAATGAATTGCTATAGAAACCCAATGATTTTAAACAAACTTGAACTTCTTCACAATCACATGGCAGATTATTAAAAATATTAGTATTGCTTGAACCATATTTTAGAATCCACGTATTATTAATATGGTTGGATATCAGAGAAGGATCAGTAAAATCGAATGAAATTAATCCACCCTGTCGAATACTTTCTTCCACTTGATATAATTTAGCCCAGTATATTTGGCCAATCTAAACAAAAGATATAACGATACGCTTTGTTTTTATTGATACTAGAATAATGTTATTTTACTTCACAAGATTAATCTGTCTGCTTTTCCTCGTTTTGTTGAAAATCCACATTACCGAAGATATACTCCATAGAGTAGGAATGAAAGTCTCAAAGTTCAACAAATATCTTCTGATTTAGATGCTCAATGTGTCAGAAAACATTTTTTAAGCTGTCATTTTTCATTATATTTTACCTGCATTTGCAAATAAATTTCCCACATAGAGGTTGTTTCATTGAATTCTAGTTGAGAAAGAGGTTGAGGAGAGACAAAATACTCGTCTTGAAACGAATTCATCATATTAGACAAAGTTCTATTGGCTATATCACAGCATATTTTAGCGTAATTGAAAAATTTAAGTCCATTCTTTCGAAAATCAGTCCAATGAAATAGTGGATTAGGATCGATGGTACCATTTAAGAATTCCATTTTCCAATATTGGAACCAACGATCATCATGCACAAAACTACTTGTACAAAATGAATGAATTTTTATGTCATTGGATATAAATGTTGAACGTGGTATCAATGAATATCGACATGGACATGAAAGAATGGACGAATACATGGCATAGAGGTGCTCAAATTGATCTAGACTTGGATTTTTGATAGTGATTCGTTGTGAACTAACTATTGAAGTAGAGTAAATAGTCAATATGTATATACCAAGCATCAATAATATGATATAGATACGAGTAGAATAAATCCCATGTCGAACATTGGTGAAAGTTGTTGCGAACAAATTAAATGTAGTAACTTTGTGACCAACTAACTTAATGAAGTTTCGTATACGATCTTTGAAATCTATTAAAAGAAAAAGAAAAAGTACAAAATAAAATATTCTGAAATAGAGATTAATTTTACTTCTATTGGGTTCATGTTCTTCATCAGCTTTCAACATTCGAACTTCTTGGGGACATAAACGTAAAATGAATTTTAGCAACAATGGCGATGCTATACGTAATACTACGATAAGTCCACCAAAAACACTAGCCATAGTTGTGATCATGTAAATGAGAAAGAACCGTTGTATATATGAATATGAACATGATTTTGGTGCACATGTTCGAAAATATGCCTCAAAATCAGTAGAGTTCTTCCAAGATTCGATCATTAGATTATCAAAGAGAACATTAATAGTTGTTGCTGGAGTGAATCGTGAAGGGTTTGAAATATTTAAAATTGAGACAGTGGAAAGACCACCAGTCAATGAAATTACCATATCTAAACATGATTGGTTATAAAAACATTCCAATGTTGAATGAAGCAATGCATTTTGAGGGATGCATCCAACTTGAAATCCTGGTACAATGAATAGAGGTGGTTCATCAAGTGAAAACACTTCATTTGGAATGATAGCTTTTGATTGATTATAAATACCAGCAGGATAAATACAATGATTTTTCTGATCACACCGACATATTTCATTCGATATCGATGACGATTGAGTTTGATTAACCTGTTGTGGATATATGGCAGAAAAAGTTTCATAAATGTTACTACCAGGAACACTTCTCGTATAGAAATTTGTTCGTAATGCAGATATAAAGCGATGTTCTAAAACAAGGGATAACACAAAATGATTGTGTGATTGAAAAGTGTAAAGTGTATTTTTCTTGAATTGTTCAATAGATGTGTCTATATAACTATGAAGTACGTCACGCGACAATGCAATTAGTGAAAACACTGTTGCTGAAGCCAAACTTTTAAGAGCATCAATTACAACTCCATGTGATATTCGACAGAGAAGAGATAAAACTTGCAATTGTGCAGAAGCCATCAATCGAAAATCAAGAGGATAGTAATTGCTTGTATTAGCATTGAATAACGAAGAAAACCATTCTTCGTTGATGAAATTACTTGAACAAACTTGATGAAATTGTGGATTGAATGACACAAATTGTAGATAAGAAATTGATGTTTGAGAACAGCGACATGCAGTTGTAGTTGGGTATCTATTGATGAAACTTTCGAATTCATTGACAGACGGTGAATAGACAGTGAATGTATGTGTTTGAGGAATAATACCAGTAAATGTTAGTATAATCACAAGAGCGATTGAAAGCAAGACGACGAAAACACGTGTTGATAGAAGCTGACCAGTGAGAGTCATCTCATCATAGTCATTGTAGAGATTCAGATTGCGAATAAAATATAGCAATTGATTTTTATGTTGAACATGAGTAGTAGATTGAGTAATCATTGGTGTAGAAGATTATTTATTAAGTCTATTATGCAAATCTTAAATATATATCGAGTAATCGAAAGACATAAACATTAGTGAATGGTTTATTTCTTTTTGCCTCCTTAGAAAAGTAATAAGTCATTAGAATTTTTAATTTTAAAAGTTATTCATTCCACATTGCGCATTTCTTTGCTTCTTCTGTTCTCTAACTGACTATATTTTGAATATAAGCTTTTATGGTATATATTTCTTTTTCTTAGCTCTTAGTTAAATGGAAAAAATATTGTGCTAACATTTTGGTAGGCATGACTGAAAAAATGTAATAGCTAAAGAAAAATCATTACTCTGGTGAGCGAGAGAGATATGCTTCGAGCATCTGATGTATTTTCATTATTTTAATTTTGACTTTTGTTTGAGTAATGTTTTCTTACTTCTTCATTTCCTTGTTTTGAACTGCTCTTAAATAATTAATTTATTTTTCTACTATCCAGAATGACTTTATTCATAAAATAATTTTCTATTTCTCAAAAAGTAGTTTGTTTTCTTTATTTACAAAGATGTTGTACTATTATTTAACAGAATCAAAAGTATCTGATTGTAAACTGCTGATATTTCTATGTGAATCAATACATTTTATTTCTAATAAAAAGTAGTTGTTTTCTCTAGTAGTACTGTTTAATTGGTATCGACCATTTGTTTTTAATTAAAAGAAAGCTGATTTTATTTCATTTTATTGAAAGTCTTATCTGCTCATGAATTGAAAACCTTTTTTTAAGGCTGTAGTTCTGTCTGCTTATTGAGCACCTTCATTTCGTCCGAAAAAATTAATATTGCTTGTGATGACACAGCTCTACTTGGGTATAAAGAACAAATCCAAACACACTTCAAACCTATATTTCTATTGTTTTGCCACATAAGAAAAGTTTAAAAGTGTTTTATATGAGACAGTCAACATCTAAGGCTCAAACGCATCGTTACCGATCAGTCTTTGGGAATTTCTATGATATGTATACTCCAGTTTAGTATCATAGTGTTCTTGTCTGAAATAAATTTTTGAAAAAGAATGAAAGCTAAGTATTACTATGCATGAGAAAACATTTCATCGGAAAAACTGAATTTAGTATTTACCCTGACCAGCCGCCCTTGTGCTTTACCATAAAAGTTAAATCACAGAATTTATTATCAATATTGTCTTTATATGTTTCGGGTGTGGGTGTGGGTGGGGTGTGGGTGTGGGTGTGG